CCGTTCTTTGTTGCGTAATAGCCTTACTTCATAGTTAGTGATTTGATGTAAAAGGTTTTCACACTTCTACCGTTTCTTTCACGATATAAAAAGGTAGAGCTCTCGGCGTTTATCAGTCCCTGAGCGATGCGCCATGCATTCTGCTTCATTAAGCTCTGTTCGGAGGTGATTAAATGCATACCTGGCCTTTACAATGGCTCGCGGTGGCCTACCGATGTGCCGAGCTAGTCCTGCTGTCCTCCCAAACAAGTCTGGTACCAATTTACGCCGGCCCCGGAGGGCAGAAGATTTGGTGGGCCATGGGTTCGGCGATCGATTCCACGTGCGTCTTGCAGGACGCCTTCGACGACTACGCCACACGCGGCCTTCCTTCAAGATATAACGATAATAAATCAAACGATGATAGTGCCAAACTGTGACAGTTACGCATAATGGGTGTAAAGCGAATCGCACATAAAATTAGATTCCGGCATCGCCATTTCTTACACGGGCACTACTCATTTATGGCTCGCCTAGCTGTCTCCTAGTGAAAATGTTGACATGTGGTTGAATTCGGCCGCTTGCATTTAAAATCTTCTTCAAAATGATAGGCCTTCATGAATCATCTTGGAAAAAAGAACAGCACTGATTGTTCCATTCGCCATCATCGCAGAAGTCACTCGTCAAGCGAATGCCGTTCAGAAAGCTCTCTGCTTCATGAGTTTGTTGTGAACATTGTCTGCGTACAACTTGGAGAGTACATCTTCTTTCTTTACTTCTTTTTTTTTGCAGAATATACTATTGTGTGTTTCAAAGGCTTGTGTGCGAAAGTGCGAAAAACTATTATTTCAATTTTCAGCAAAGCTGATGATAGTGAACCATTATCGCTTATAGCAAAACATCAGTAAGACGATTTCATAGATTAGTTTGTGCAGAACCTGTACACCGTGTAAACTATCATTTTCTAGACACAGGATGAACACACCTTACATCAACAAGATTGCTGAGATATTTGCAAAACTCCGGACAGCAGGTGTCTGCGGTGGGGAACGAACGCGCTACTGTCTTTTCCGGGGAGTAACGCGCTCACCACCACACCATGCCGGTCCCTCGTTTCGCCTGTCTCTCACATGGTTAGACGAGCTTTGACTCAAGTCGTCAAAATGGAAATCAGAAATGAGGTTGTTTATTGAAAGATTTGTACTTTTTTATAGTTCAATATACCATATACAGACAGGCTCTAGAATTTGAAATATCTTGCGCATAAAATTTTTTTCCTCACTGAGTTTCTTACATCGACAAGAAGTGAGCTAACTGATATGAAGGCCTATGCTCTAATCGCACTGTTCTCATCAAGTTCTGAAGAAGTCGAACACTTGTTACATTACTTCTCCGGCCAAGTATTTATTGAGTTATCTTTTCCTCCCTTGTGAGTTTACCAGACTGGAAATCAGAGAATTGGTTAGTAGTACCTCTCACAACCGCTCTTCATTGTCCATTCTTCTTCAGCCACTCTATTTCACGTATTTCTTAGAGTTTCATATCAATTCCTTCAACTTATACAGTGATGATTGTGCTATGTGTGGTCTGGCATTGTGTTGCAACGGACTTAGTAGCTCTCGAATGATCAATGATAGGCGAAAACGTTGCAGTTCCCGGAGCAGCAATTTCTTGACAGTACTTCTCCACCTTATGGTTTTGCTACGATTTAAAAGGTTGTAGCCAACACAGACTTGATCTCTTAGATCGAGCTTGCTCCGCGGTGAACAAAGTGCAGCTATCGCTGTGGTACTGGAAGAATCTTGATTATGACGAGGCCTGCTTCCGATCCATATGAACTTCCGACAATCTATTGTAAAACACTTACTACAGCTACTTCGGGATTCCTTAGAAAACCACGCTTAACTATGATTTGACATTTCGATGTGCTAAAATGATGTCTTTTTTGTTGTTCAACCTACTGGCGAAATCGAGCATCTTCATAAATGACGGTTGAGAGCTAATGAATGAAATAGAAGAAGTACCTACATAACATCTGTAGACGAGCCAACTAGGAAGCCACGTAAGTATAATGGCGGTTGTCAAAGCCACTTTCCGTTTTATAATGTCATTGGTGAACAAATATTTTCTGTGTAAAAGAAACAAGAGAGATTTTCATAACGTTGATTTTTTTACCCTTTTTCTAATTTGATACGGAACCGAATTTCCCAGCCTGACCTAGGGATTCCCAAAGTATTGTTTTAATGTATAACTTTTATCTACTGTCCATTATTCTTTTCACTGCAGAGTCTCATGTGAACTACAATCACAGTGATGCTCAGATGTTTGCTAAACTTGGATCCTAGGCCATATCGAAACACCAGCACAATTTCCGGGCGCCCAATTGTTACGCACGGCATCGTCGAGCTCTTCGTTCTACCTTTCTCTCAACCAGTCTTTCTACCCTATCGGTACCATCGGCAATCATCCGTCAACAGGATTGTTATGGGGAGCACAAATCGACATGAAATCCAGTTAAGATGAGGCTGTAATAGAAATCACAATGTGTGGCTTTTATCTACTATCTGCCCATTAATTTTTTTTGCGGCAGGGTATTTTATGAAACACTATTGTTTTACCTATGAGTAGTTCTTTCGCATGCATCTAATTGCTTCAAATTGGTCGTCCTTAGTTGTTGCCTTCATGTGATCAGTTCTGATGACGAGGGTCGTCCTCAACTCTCTAAATTTCCAGAGGTCACTTTTACATCAGACGTCCTTTTCAAAGCAACCTTTTACTTAAACTCACCGGCGATTTCTTAACCAAACGCTGTGTTCGTATTACTGGGCGTTTCATTCGTTTTATGTCTATGTTTGAAGCCGTGCACTCATTGCTCAAATTGGCATTTTTGCATTTTTATAGGAACGGCCACGTTTCATGGAACTTTATGAAGATGAAAACATAATCTGGAACGAAATTTCTGCCGTAAAATGGACTACATGGTGGACGCAAAGACATGAAGTACCAACTTAAAATGAAATGGATATTCCAAGTCTATTTTTGGTGCTCTTTTTTACGAGGAAGCAACTCCACCTATTTGTGTGTTCAGCCACTGTCTCTTTCAGTTCTTCTTCTGGATGAACCAAAAAAGGGTTTGTTTTCAATGGCTTTTAGATAGTTTTAAAAAAATTTCGCTGGCAGTAAAAACTTGCCTTGTTTGTTACCGTGCCTCTAAAAAGAAGTACAGTCACAAGAGAACTACTTATACAGAGTACATTCGCCAGATCTCAGCATCGATATTTCCACTGTGGAAATTGTAAATCCGACGTCATGATGGCTCAATACTTCCAAACTTTTTTCAGTTTAGTTTGAAGATCTTACTATATGGAAAATTTAACCCTGGCTGCTCGACAACTAATGCATCACTTTTTTCTGAGCGTGAGTACAGAACTGTTTTAATTCTTCTGTTACGTGGTCCTCGTTGATTCGGATGAGTAAATGCAGGATCACTAACGGTTTACATTGTGCGTCGCTACATAACAAGGCTTCCACATACAAAAGTGGGTAACTGGGCACGGTAAAAATCGGGGAACGGCTTGGTACTACTATCTCCTGAAAGACAGAAAATATTCTAAAACACACTCAAAGAGCATTTAATATATCAAAGGTGCGAGAAGGTGATATTTTTCATACTAAGGCAAAATCCACAGACGAACTAAACCATTTACCGGTAACGCAAATCGAAAGCAGAATGCGCTGACCTGTGCGCGGCATGACGGTACGAACCATTAAAACAAGTAGTTTTTCCTACTCATGAATCTCACTCAAAAAATGAGCACATTTTTCTAGTACTTGGACGTGGCTTATTATTGTCAGCTCTGTCTCTATTATTACCATTCAATGAAGCACTTCTCTATGGTCGAAAAATTTGCCAGAAATTCTAAGGCATGCATTTAAAAGAACGACGTTTAGACTAAATATAATAGCGTAGTGTGACGCCACAATGAGGCTTATAAATTTAGTTTTTGCCTCGAGATAGATTTCCTCTAGTTATTCACCATGCTTAAGCTGGCATGCGGTGAAATGAAAGGTAGACGGTAATAAAAGCAGTCGTAGGGTTACCTGTACTTCGTAAAACTTTACCATTCCGGTCTAATCGTTCCACAGAACCCTCTACAGGTCTTTCCAATGTTGCTGCAGCTTCCACTGCCGCGTCACCCGCACATAGTAGATTTGAATCAGTGTTTCCGAGAATGAATTTGGCCGCTACCGTATACTGTTGTTGGCGGGAAGATGTACTTGGGCTGTCTGTACGCTCCCTCAGTTCTCATACGCACTCATTTCCCCTCACGCGACGATTCACTGTGAAAAAACACCGCGCCAGTGCCGGCGGTCGAGCAGCAGCGCATAAAAGGCGCCCGAGTTGCCGGCCCGGAGCCATTTCTTCTTCCACGCCATTACGTCCCGAGCGAGCCTCATTCGTCTTGTTCGCCACCACCTGCACACCGACGAGCCAACACCAATGAAGCACTCCTCGCTTTCGGCGTTCTGACCGCGCACAACCCGCAATACTGCGGCTACAGGTTCAAAAAAAGTGAATTTCTACTCATTGCTTTTTTGGCTACTTATCGAATACAAGGTTTGTTTGAACTTTTAACTGTTTTCGGTGTTTGATGATATTAAGAGATGTGGACATAGTTTTCCCCATCTGACGATCTATTAGAGGAGGAAAGGAAGCTTTAACGGGGTCGCCGATGGAGGAATTTATAAAATAAGAAATCTATTCCATATTTCCAACAGTTTAATCATTTTCTACATTTGAGTCATGAGAACTCAAATTCCGGTTTCTTCACTGAGCGCAGAGGTTAAGGAGTCTAGCTGATCAGTTCATTTTACCATTTTCAAGCTTTTAGAACTCAAAGACCCCATAATTCAAATGCAACAAGGAGATACGTTTTCCTCATTCATCAAATACCGACCGGGAATTCTTCAGCACCTGGACCGATATTTTTGCGGTTGTCATGCCCATCGAGGGCTAGTTTATGACGTCGTGGCGACGACGTTTCCATGGCCAGCCGTTGTCGTGGGATGTGGTATTGTCGTCCGGTCGATTGAAGATCGATCGATTTGCTTGGAAATTCAAAGAACAGAGAGCGGCGTGTCCGACCGTAACGGCGCTAAGTTATCACACTGTAGATCTTCCTTTCCTCCGTAAGGCGTTGTTGGCGATACATGTGCTCATCACATTCGCCGTCGCGTGGGAGCCGACCGCTCAATGATTTCCCAGCCTTCGGCCAGATTCGCCCGCGTTCGTCAAGAGGATGATGCGAAACTGCATAATGATTTCGAATCGTCACTCTTGATGTTCTCGTGCCGATCTCAACGTCTTTTCTTCTCGTACAAAACACTCGTGAAAGGTCTGAGTTACTTTTTTTTGTAACCTGCGCATGGAAATACATGGCTAAGCTTCTCGCTATAAGTTTAAATTTGTTTTCGATCTCTGATGCGGTATGCCATCCTAAATTCATCTTACTGTTGTTGAGCTTCATGCGATTGCGTAGCTATCATAAGAGAGTTACTGTTGCTCACAATATCTCCTATCATCCGCTTCTTTTTACCATTTTGCAAAGTCTTCACCTCAGCTTTCTTTACCCTGCCGAGTTCGTTCAGATAATAAGCAAAATTTTTGACAATGCCAATGAGCCATTGTTGGTTCGCATGATTTGAGGTGTTCCACTGCATCTCTTCCAATCTATCCTTATTTTTGTTTATCATAAATTCTGTATATTCTTCCTCGAAATCTTCCGCCCTCATGGATGTCTCCACCTCCATTTCCGATCTACCGCTCTCGAACTGCTCCACTTTCACGAACTTTAATCATCAGAAACGGCGAAGAGTTTGTTCTCAAAGGAGTTTCAGAGTGCCTTCCGACCTGTTCGATCTGTACCAATACTTCGTGAAATATTGTTTCGATTTATTTCCTTCGTTAAAGTGTTTCTTTCTACTTCGATGTGTGTTACAAGAGTGCGAGTTGGAATAATAATTTTTAATAGTTGAGCGGTTCCTATGTTGTTATCATCGATAATACATCCTTCCTTGCTCCTATCGCTTTTGAATAAGGCTTTTCGTTTTTCCTTCGATAGAGTGACTCACTTTGGCTGTTTTTCTGATCCTGCTTTTCGAACGGTTGGCGGCGTTGCTGTGTGATTAATGTGCTCGTCGTACAAAGAGTCATTCGTCAATTCGCGTCGTCGATTGTTCGTATGAGTTACGAAGATCAGAAACGAACACGACACATTTGAATGTCCTTTGTCCGTTGACGTATTCATTTCTATCTGCGTCAGAATTACCCTTGTCAGGTGCGGGCTGGTTCGCACGTAAACGCCAATGTTAGCCCTGCGACCACCGCACCTCTTACACTCGTACCACGCGAACAGCTGCAGTAGTTGATGAGTTTTTGTTCTGTCGTTCTTCAGGCCTTTTTGGTTACTCACTAAGCCCTTTGATTACTCACTCGAGTGCATACACATTCTTATACAAGGCTTTCGATGGCGTCTATCTGTTTTGCTTAATAGTGCTGTAAAAACATCGGCTAGTGAGCGATTCAGAATTGCTGATTCGGAGCACAAAAGATGTTAAAAGCTATTTGATTAAGGCTGCGTCACACGTTTTGAAGACTTACATGTCAACCTCTCTTGTCTTCCCTTACCAATATTTCAAATTCTCGTAGAGCGTGATTTTCCTTGAACAAATCGAAATATTCGGGCTACGGTTTGCTCAAGTCGCTTCCATAAACAATTACTGGCCCATGTAGATTGGAGAGAAGTACGCTGCTTTCCAACTCCGATATTTTAAGGACGACTGCGACTTTTTTTTCTGATGCCAACGAATACTGCAACTGGTGCCAACCACTCAAAGGCAATCTAACAAGCTGAGCATAGATATGAATATCCTTTTGTCTATATAGGTATCTACCTATTCAAGAATGAGGATAATCTGCGGAGCAATCAATTCAAAGTACGAGGAGTACAGAGTCTACTCTCCATAATACCACGTTGTAACAAAAAGTCGGTGATGATCCACGAATCCAGCAGATATCTTCGAACCAGAATAAGTCATCTAAACTAAGAAGGATAGGAGTTGTTCAGTAACAAGTCGCACTTCAATGTATAAACGCGCGCTTCGAAATTGTTCAACATTAAATGACTGGTTAATGTGACTGAAGTCAAGAACTATGTTATTGGTCTAATAAAGAAGGTGGTGAAACGCTCTCAACACGTCACTTTGAAGCTTAAGAGCTTTTTCCTTGCTAAAAACAAAGAAGTTGAATTTAGGAAGTAAATCATCAACACCGGTTAGTTCGATGTCTTAACAATCGTGATGTATACAGAATCCGAAAGACAATGAGAAGACTCTAGCTTTAGTAACTCGCGACCATAGAAAGTTTAGCTGGAGATTAACCGTTATGGAACATGATGACTCATACGAAGCATGAGTGTGAGAAGATCAGGCTGAATCAGTTTAATGTTGACAAACTCCATCTCCTGTATATGAAACTGCAGAGAGGTTCCAGAGATTTCTCAATACTATAAGATGCACATGACGCGCCGTGTATTAACGATGATAGTTGTGCTCCCATATAATATTTTTCTTGTCGAACCTATTCAAAAATGCTGAGATATTTGCAAAACTCCGGACCGCAGGTGTATGCGGTGGGGAACGAATGCGCTATTGTCCTTTCCGGGGAGTAGCGCGTCCACCGCCACACCACGCGGGTCCTTCGTTTCGCCTGTCTCTCAGCTAGTTCTATCGATCTTTTGCCATCAGCCATATTCAAAAATATATAGCAATATTGTGTCGTTGCTTCCTCGTGCAAGGATCTTCTTTCGCATAAGAGTGTAATGACTGACGATAGTTCTAAAATTTTCATCTGCCCGAGCTGCTTCACAAATCTTTATAGTTTACAAAAGTTGACTAAGTTGGCAGGTTTGATGAAGATTATTACCTGCTTGTTTGACGTAATCTTTAAGTGTGAAAAAGGTCAAAACTGTGAACGCCGCCAGATGTCGTTCTTATGGATGCACTCTAAAAGTACTGAGGACATCAACGGTAGACATCAAAAAGCTACATCGGAGCTTACGAAGCTGCGAAGGAGTGAAAAAATGTATTAAGAGTGAAATACAACCACTACGATGGTGGTTTTTATTTTTTTATTTGCGAAACGTGACCACTGAGCGAGATGAAACCCATGATTGTCCTTTTCGGAGGCTCACATGTTGTCCAGTGCTCCATAAGACCTCTCAAGGGTGGGTAACACGGGACAACCCGGAAACGGTAATCACGAGTTCGATACGACTTGGCGTCCAGGTTTTGCAAATATCTCACCATCATAGTGGCTGTGTTTCGCATCGTATTCTGCCTTAAAAAATAATAATAGCCAGTAAATAGAAAGTTAACATGGTATTAAAAGCATTACGAAGCGAGGAGTGGAAGTGCTAAAAAGAGGCACCAGAGGCCATCTTTAGCGTCTGCAGTAATTACCGGACAAACAAGCCTTAACAACTTTCTGAAGACCAACAGAGAAGTTTTTTTCTAGATTATCCGAATTTTCCGATAACCTCCCAATTTCTAAAGTCCATATTGATCAGGGTAAATGTTGTAGTTGAATTCGTTTCTTCGCTCATTCTCTTCCATTTCACTCATGTGTTACATACCATATCATATTGATGCAAAGACATATGGCAGCTGTTTTCGAGTGAACGATGTACGAGCCTTTTAAATAAGGAATAATCATTCCTACTCTACGTGCTGAAACGTTTCTTGCACATATTGAGACATATGGTGTCACTTAGTTGAAAACAGAAACGCGGTCTCGTCCGACAGAGATGTAGTGGCACGCGACAGTCCTTTGTTCGAGCTTCAGCAAAACTGTAAATACGTCGAAGAAAGTTGGCTACAATATTATTTGATGGTGAATCTTATGTTCATAAACAAGTCATTCAATCTAAACTTAAATGGCGCCAAAATTTAATGCACTTGCAGTTATTATTATGGATATTCAAATTAGCAATTTTCGAATGCTGCCAAATTACTATACCTTCACTTTTTTCTTAGTATCGTGTCCCTCGCTTAGTATCGGAATGCCCTTCACTAACATGAGAAATCGTCTTTGGAAGTGAGTTTTCTAATTTACTAGTGCACAAAATTTTTAGAAAAAAATTTCTATTCTAGACTAGAAAACTTCAAAGGGACTAATACAGCAAGTTACTAAGGCGCCCAAGTGCAAAAGTAGGGGAAAGAAAATATTGTTCATCCATAATACACTGTTGTTTTTCTGATGAGCAAACATAAGGCTGTTTACAGCGAGATTTATTCAATACAATGCTGGCTGACGTTTTGGCGGTTCCGTCTTCTTCCGAGGAAATCATCCGCACAGTCTTACATGGGTAAGAAATGTGCGTGGACCAGATAAAAACTGAGATGTGACGCGAGATTACACATAATCTTAAGGCATTCCTTTTTGTGGTTCATTTCTAATAAATCTCACTGCTAACAGCCTCGTGCTTGGTCATCAAAGAAATGGTGTATTACGATCAATGCCGAGGTAAAGAGAAACTCCATCCTGGGATTTGATGTTGTCCATCTGTTCATTGTTTAAGAACTCTGTGTCGAAAAACATTATGGAGAAAATGAGTGGGTCTGCAAATACTTCTACTACAATCTCTTTAATACTGAAGGAATGCTGTTTTAATAATCTTGAAATTGCTAAATCCACGACCCAACGGCTTGCGGCCTCATCGAGGCTGGGAGGTGTTCCTAGGTGTCGGGCTGCGATGTACAGGGGTGAATAATTCTCCCAGCAGAGTCTCCCATGCTGAGAAGGAGTCCAGCGTTTCCATCAAGAAGCCCAGCTAAGAGTAAACCAATACCAGGATCCACCATCGTCCTGGTATCAAATTAGTCGCATGGTGGTAAATCTCCCCCTGATACACAAGGGCGGCGACTGCCTGTGGTGATGAAGACCAGGGGCAGACTTTGGCCAGGCTGACCTCAGAACTCCAGAAAACCATAATGGCTTTACCAGCAAATCTCCGAAAAATAGAGATTATGCCATTCAAGTATCAAGTAAGAAATTGCTAAATCAACTTCTAATATGAAACACATACAAACTACTTTCCCTTCTGGAAGACCACCTAAGAATAATGAATGAATCATAGACAAACTATTTAGGTGTTATTTTTGATATCACCATTAATTCTAACCCGGGCATCTAAGCTGA